CTCACGTATATAAAGATTATTGGTACATTTGTATGATAGTTGTAAACATAAAGCACACATTTTTATGCCTTCTTCAACTTCTCTGTGAGTTCTGGTACCTTTTCAAACAAATCTCCAACAAGTCCAACATCAGCAACCTGGAAAATAGGCGCATCCGCGTCCTTGTTGATAGCCGCAATGACCTTGCTGTCCTTCATACCGGCCAAATGCTGAATAGCACCAGAGATACCAACAGCCAGATAAAGTTGCGGGGCGACAACCTTTCCGGTCTGTCCGACTTGCAAGCTGTTGTCTGCATATCCACTGTCAACGGCCGCGCGCGAAGCACCAACAGCAGCGCCCAACGTGTCAGCAAGCGGGAGCATCAGCTTGTCAAAGTCATCCTTGGACTTGAGACCTCTTCCACCAGAAACAACCTTGGGCGCAGTGGCCAGGTCTGGACGATCAGACTTGGCGAGGTCCTCGGAAACCCACTCGGTAGGGCACTCAGCCTTGGGGTCAACACCGTCCTCCACGGCAGCAGAACCACTTCCTACAGCGGCGGCGGGGAAAGCAGTACCACGAATGGTGATAATCTTGATTGGATCCGAGGACTCGACGGTCGCAATGGCGTTTCCGGCATAGATTGGGCGCACAAAGGTCTTGTCGTTCTCGATTGCGGTAATATCGGAGATTTGTTGCACGTCGAGGAGTGCGGCGACGCGGGGCAACAAATTTTTGCCAAAGGCAGTGTGGCCGGCAATGACGTGGGTGTAGCCGCCCTTCTTGATGTTCTCGACAAGGAGGGGCGCAAAGTTCTCTGGGAGACCCTATTACGTTGGTTCGTATAATGTAAACAAAAGGGGGGCTAAGGATCTCATAAGCCAACCTTGTCGTATGCACCGTTTTCCACCGCAATGACCTTTTCTACGCCCTCAACCTTGGCACCTTCCTGAGCGACTGGCTTAACGTTGCTGCCGGCAACAAATCCGTGAACGGAACCGCCGAGCTTCCGGGCGGCGGTAATTGCGCTCAAGGAACCGGTATTGAGAACGCCATCGCGCTGTTCGAGAATGGCGAGGGCAGAGAGTAATCGGCGGAGGGCAGCGGGGGATCTGGCCGAGGTCATTGTCGCATCTCGAAGAGTAGGACGGGCGAGCGCCGAGAACACCCGGCGACCGGCCGACGACAGCATTGTGAAATTGGGATGGTTGAGAAAAACAATTGGTGGTGAGGGATTGTCGGGCAGTGATCCGGGGAAGAAGCCTGTAGGTTGGCACACACAACTGACACTGGCCAGTCACTGTGGACTCTGGGGATTCTGGGGAAGGAGGGACAAGATTCAATCAATGACGGATTGCAGCGGCCCGAGGTTGCTGCTAGCTTCTGACTGACAAGGGTGCCCTTCCTGTGCTGTGTCTAGCGCGGGGCACATGGGATGACATAATGAAGGTGGCTTAATAAGAGGTGGCTGGTGCGCAAAACGAAGAGTGGCTAGGGATTTGTCAAAGTCATGTGACATCGACCTGCTTTGGGAGGATTCTTGGCTGCAGGCTCCGCGCTCCAGGTGGTCCGTCCCATTCCCTGAGCCTTCACCGTGGTCTGGAGCAGCACCGTCTGGCGGCGCGCGAACATTTTCTCCAACGCGACCAATCCATCATCACGAAAGCGCCCCCCCCCCCAGTTTGCGATCGCAAACATCGCCATTTTTGCGCGAACCCACCCTCTCCAATCCCATTTTTTACGACCATCTCAAATTCTGCCTAATTAGTTGTTGGCTGTCTTTCTGAATCAATTTTTTACACCTTACTAGAAGCTTCGTAGATTGCTTTCTTCCAATCTAGGAGAGGACCATTATCCGTTTTATTGGTTTTTTCGCTTCCTCCATCCTCCCCACCATCACCGTCGCCCATCAACATGGAGGACAGCACAATTAGCTACGGCACCCCAACAAATGCCACATCGCCAGGTGCGAACTCAATTCTCGCCCAACCACCCCTCCCGGATGCCAATGATCACAGTGAAGGTTTGCGGCGCCCTTAATTGGAAACCCCCCCAGCCTCCTTGTTAACGCGACTATTTAGATGTGCATATGAGCGAAGGACCCGAACTCACAATCAAGCATGACAATGCAACACCTGCACCCGGCGCTCCTTCAGATAACCCCCTTGACGCGCCTTCACGCCCACCTGCTGAGTCGACCGCCCGCGAGGATGAAGAAATGGGCGACGCGCCCAAGAATGAGGCTGGCCAAGTTGAGGGCGCTGGCGTGGAAGGCACCATCGACGTCAAGTCCAAGGAGTCTATCGAGAATGCCGCAAGGGAACATCTGATCTCTCAGACTCATTCAATCGTCCTACCAAGCTATAGCACCTGGTTCGATATGAACAGCATCAACAATATCGAAAGGAAAGCGCTCCCTGAATTCTTCAACAACCGAAACAGAAGCAAAACCCCTGCCGTATACAAGGACTATCGCGACTTCATGATCAATGCTTACCGTCTTAACCCGATCGAGTATCTTACTGTCACTGCCTGTCGCCGCAACTTGGCTGGCGACGTTTGTGCCATCATGCGTGTTCATGCCTTCCTCGAGCAATGGGGGTTGATCAACTATCAGGTAGGCGCAAGCCCAATTAAGCTAGATCTTGCGGTCCCAGGTACTAATGCAAACACAGGTGGACACTGAGCAAAGACCATCCCACGTTGGGCCGCCGTTTACTGGCCACTTCAAGATCATCTGCGATACTCCTCGTGGCCTCCAACCATGGCAGCCATCTGCGAACCCTCTGCTGGTCGAAGGAAAGCCGCACAGAGACACCGAGGCTAAGGCCAGCGCAACACCCGCACCCAAGAGCGAACTCAACCTCGAAGTTGGCCGCAACATCTATGAGGCCAACGCCAGGAATGTCAAGCTGACCAAATCCGAATCCAAGGCTAACGGCGAGACACCAGCCACTAATGGCGTCTCTGGAACCGAGGAGCTTACCAAGGCCCCCGTCATCAGAGTTAACTGCTTCAACTGCGGTACCGACTGCACTCGCATCTACTATCACAGCTCTCAAGCAGACCCCAACTCGAAGGCCAAGTACGATTTGTGCCCTAGCTGTTTCCTTGAAGGTCGCCTTCCCGGCAACCAGACCAGCGCGCATTACACTCGGATGGAGAACCCAACATACTCCTCTGTGCTCGATAGAGATGCCCCGTGGAGTGATGCCGAGACCCTAAGGTTGCTCGAAGGGCTCGAGCGGTACGACGAGGACTGGGGCGAGATCGCCGAGTACGTTGGAACCAGAACGCGGGAGGAGTGCGTTCTTAAGTTCCTTCAGCTTGATATTGAGGATAAGTACCTCGAGTCTGAGAAGGTGGACGCGCCAGTGGGCATTCAGCTGCTTGGTAGCCACGGTGGTCAGCTCCCATTCAGCCAGGCAGACAACCCGGTGATGTCAGTTGTTGGATTCCTTGCCAGTCTCGCAGATCCCGCTAGTACTGCAGCAGCTGCCGGAAAATCAGCCGAGCTTCTCAAGCAGACCCTTCGCAACAAACTCGAAGGTGGATCTGAGGAAGCTCAGGCAAACGGAAAAGGCAAGGCGAAGGAAGCAGACGGTTCCATGGAGGTTGATATCAGCCAAGAGGTCACGACGACCACCACAACCACAACTACTACCACAACCAAGACACAGGCGCTGGCCAACATTCCATTGGCGTCACTTGGAGCCAGAGCTGGTGGACTTGCGTCTCACGAGGAGCGTGAGATGACGAGACTAGTCTCGGCCGCTGTCAACATAACGTTGGAGAAGAACGAGCTCAAGCTCAAGTACTTTGATGAGATGGAGGCCATTCTCCAGGCCGAGCGTCGGGAGCTTGAGCGCGCTAGGCAGCAACTGTTCCTTGATCGTCTTGCTTTCAAGCGTAGAGTTCGCGAAGCCCAGGAAGCACTGAAGCAGGCGTCGGCGGTTGGTGGTGAGCAGGGTTACAGAATGGGCCAGGAACTGTTGACCGATGCTGAGAGGATGAGCTTCCATGCACCACCTGCAGCTGGGTCGGTACAGCCGCTGAGTGCTACTACGGGGTTGAGCAAGAGCTACGAGGCTTAGGTTACCTCGAAGCCGCTGCAGCATTATCCAGAGCAACAGTCACAGGAACCATCGCACATACAACAGCGGCGGATGTTGCCGAATGGTGCCAACCTGCATTTGAACCTAAATGTAGTGAGCCCGTTTCCAGGTGTGCCTCCCTCGCAAACATTTAGATCTAGACAACCTAGTGCTTCGATGTGAGGCAGTCTGGTGGGATTGACGGGTCTCGTAGCAAAGGCAAATTGATGGTTAGGTTTAGAAATATTTTCTGGACAATGGGTTTGTCCTTTACCTACTTTTGGTCGTTTCTTTTTTTTTTTTTCTTTTTGATTTTTTTGATTTTTTTTTTCCTCTTGCGGCGTCATTTGGGTTACGGAGCAAATAAATCTTTGGGGTGGGTTGTTTTTGGGCATCTGGTGTGTGTGATGCTCTCTGCGTGAGTGTGTGATGTATGAGAGGGAAAAAAAAATAAAGATTCCCTTTATTGTTGATTTATTTTTTCTTTGTTTTCCCTCCTGGAAAATGGGAGGGTTGGATGGGATTGTACGGGAGGGAGATTGGCTTTTTTTTTTCTGGTATTTTTGCTACAGAGTTGAAGAGGAGTGACTTTCCGTGGTTTTTAGGTAGCATTATTGTATACTGTAGCGGGCGAGGCCAAATATACACTATAAGGTAGATATAAGCGAGTATGCCTAGGTGATACCTTCGTTTCGTGAGACCGAAATTGTGTGTCACCAGAGTTCGATGTAGTGCGTGGGGGTTACGGATACATCCTCGGCATTTCCTTAACGCTCATAAAGAGATATCAATGAATGATGAATGTGACTGTGTCCCGACTCCGACTCTCCGACTCTCATATTCCTCCGTTTCTAGTACATGAACAGTTTGCCAAAAGAGTAAAAAAGGCTGTCGTCGTCTTGAGGAATGACAAAATGAATACAATGACGGGAGTGGGGTTCGAACCCACGCTCTCTCTCGAGAAGAGGAGTTTAAGCATGTTTGCTCAATGATAAACATTGAAACTTAAATCCTCCGCCTTAGACCACTCGGCCATCCCGCCATGAGAATGTATTCTACGAGATGTATTGAAAGAGGTTCCGGGTTCCCCAGAGTTTGAATCGAACTCACGGGGATATCCATGCGGGAGCTTCCCGTTTTTGCTTGATTCTTTTATACTGCTACATACATCTACACTACTACTGTTCCGAACCTTTAGATGCCTATTATTATAAACTCGTTTACACACAACATGATTGGAGCGTTGAGCGTTCCATTGCCTAGGTTTTGGTAATTTTGGTTGCATAAAGTTTTCCGCGTGCATGGGCTCGGGAAAGAGAGAGAAGGATTCTTAATTCCTCGGTCATTTGGCATGTGAAATGGCTCTCTTTCCACAACGCCGTCGCTGGTGGACCGGTTTCGGTATCATCCGCTAACCCGTAACAAGCCACACTCTGGACACTTGACCATAATCACTTCAGCGACGTCAGCGAAGAATGACCAGCAGGGAATGGCCTTGCGGGCCAATGACATGCGTTCTGGGGGAACCAGAATTAGACCCCGCTGACTCGCTTGCCCCAGGAAAAAGGTGGGCTAATGACGGCAATTAGCCTCGGCTCGAGGGGTTCTCATGGCCGGGCCTGGCGGGCCAGTGTACCCTGCACCTGCCATTCCAGCATGATGCAGAAGGTACCCAGCAGGAACGAAACTTTGTTTTTGGAATTGTTGAGAAGTGAATGTGGATTTTTTTGTGCCGACGAGAAGTGTGTGCGTGTGCCTAGGCTATATTTCCCTCTTTTTTCTTCTATGTAGTGTAAAGCAAAGAGAACCCTGTCTCGCTCGGCCAAATCTCACCGGCATCCCGCGCCGTTGTCTCTCTGGTCTCTTGCTCGGTCTTGTCCCCCTCCACCCTCCGCTCTTCCACCTCCATCCTCTAATAGAATCTAATATCTCAACCCCGTCCCGGTTCTCTCTCTCTGTTCAACCGGGCTGTTTCTTGTTCCCGTTGTTTTTGTCTTTTTTTTTCCTTCTGCGCTTGGGTCAATTGCGCCCCCCTCCCTCGTCCCCGTTTCTTGTCCGAAACCACAGACACTCCACTTATATATATATATACACCGGGATATGTTTGCCGCAGTCGCAAGGAAAGAGGCTCGGTCTCCCGCTCTTAGAAACCTCCTCACCAGACACACACAAACGCCACTGGTTCGTGTTTTCTCTCTTCTCTCTCATCTTTCCTCTCACATAACAAAGACTAACCCGGTCGTCCCGAATCCAGAGATTAGCATCAATGGCTCCCGCAACCAGGAGAAACAACAGCTCCCTCCCAGCTGGCTACGTGGAGGACAAGTCCAAGGGGCCAATGCTCCGTTTCCAGGAGTCTCTCCCCAAGCTCCCAGTACCAACCCTCGAAGAGACCGCCGCGCGGTACATCAAGTCGTTGAAGCCCCTCCTCACCCCCGCCGAGCTCGAGAAAAGCACAAAGGCCGTTCAGGAGTTCATTGCACCAAATGGCCCTGGTCGCAAACTTCAGGAGAAGCTGATCGCCAGGCGCGAGGACCCCAAGATCAATAACTGGATGTACGAGTGGTGGAACGATGCGGCATATCTCAGCTACCGCGACCCAGTTGTTCCCTACGTCAGCTATTTCTACTCTCACCGTGACGACCGGAGGCGGCGCGACCCCGCCAAGCGTGCTGCTGCCATCACTACTGCCGCTCTCGAGTTCAAGAAGCAAGTCGACCTCGGCACCCTCGAGCCCGAATACATGAAGAAACTTCCCATCTGTATGGACAGCTACAAGTGGATGTTCAACGCCAGCCGTGTACCTGCCAAGCCAGCAGACTACCCGGTCAAATTCGATGCCGCTCAGAACAAGCATATCCTTGTCATCCGCAAGAACCAGTTCTTCAAGGTTGCGCACGAGGTCAATGGCCAGCAGCTCAACACTTCTGAGCTTGAGCAGGCTTTCCGCCGGGTTTACGAGCTCGCTGGCGAGCGCGCCCCTGCCGTTGGCGCCCTTACTTCAGAGAACCGCGACATCTGGACTGATGCGCGCGCTGTCCTCCTCGAGGCTGACTCCCGCAACGCCCCCGCGCTCGAAGCCATTGAGTCTGCTTCTTTCGTTGTCTGCCTTGATGATGCCAAGCCAGTCACCCTCGAGGAGCGCGCTCACGCCTACTGGCACGGTGACGGCCAGAACCGCTGGTACGACAAGCCCCTTCAGTTCATTGTCAACGACAACGGCACCTCCGGCTTCATGGGCGAGCACAGCATGATGGACGGCACTCCCACCCACAGACTTAACGACTACGTTAACGACCTCATCTTCAACAACAAGCTCGATTTCTCTGACCCCTCAGTCCGCTCCAACCTTCCTGAGCCCCAGGCTGTCAAGTTCGTTGTCAACGACAAGGTCCAGGCTGAGATTGACCGCGCCATTACCGACTTTAAGAAGGTTATTGGCCAGCACCAGCTCGCCGTCCAGGCTTATCAGGGCTACGGCAAGGGCTTGATCAAGAAGTTCAAGTGCTCTCCCGACGCCTACGTCCAGATGATCATCCAGCTCGCCTACTACAAGATGTACGGCAAGAACCGCCCTACCTACGAGTCGGCTGCCACCCGCCGCTTCCAGCAGGGTCGTACCGAGACCTGCCGTACCGTCTCTGAGGACTCCGTCGCGTGGACCAAGTCCATGTCCGACCCCTCAATTGACGATGCTACCAAGGTCCAACTCTTCCGCAAGGCCATTGACGCTCATCTCGAATACATCGGCGCCGCTTCCGACGGAAAGGGCGTCGACCGTCACCTCTTTGGTCTTAAGCGCCTCGTTGAGCCTGGTCAGGAACTTCCCGCCATCTACAAGGACCCCGCCTATGGATACTCTAGCTCTTGGTACCTTTCTACTTCCCAGCTGAGCTCCGAGTTCTTCAACGGATACGGATGGAGCCAGGTTATTGATGATGGATTCGGTATTGCATATATGATTAATGAGAACAGGTATGTGTTTTGTTCCCTTTTTATACATCAGACAAATTGGCTTCTTATATACTGACTTGTGTTTCTTTACTAGCCTTAACTTCAACATTGTTTCCAAGGGTCTTGGAAGCGACAAGATGAGCTACTATATCAATGAGGCCGCTGGAGATATGAGGGATCTTTTGATTCCTACTATTGTGCCTCCCAAGGCTAAGCTTTAAGAAGAGAAAGAAAGAAAGGGGGGGAGGGAAATGATATTTTTTCACCATATAAAACCATCATTTTGTATTATTTTTACTTTATATCATCATCATCAGTTGTGTTTTTTTAAAGACAAAGATGGATATGTACGCGAGTTTTTCTTTTTTTAGAATACTATCATGAAGCAGCATGCATTTTGTTTTTATTTTCTTGCATCTTATGGATTGGTGCGGCTTTTTTGGTTATAGTGAGCAAAAGGGGGTTAGATAGATGGCCAGTTATTTTGGATTTCCTAGAATAGCAGATCATTCATCAACAGTAGCAGACATGGCACTTATGAATTTTGAAGACAACATTGAAGAGGGAGTGAAATGATATTGTTGAATATATGCGTGCTATCTAGAAAAAAGGCCCAAGAAACCTTGAACAACTACTTTCTAATCCTTCAAAATCAACGCTTTCAACAAACTACGCTACTTTTTTTTCTTTCTTTTAACCCACAACCAAAGCAAAAACCTCACATTCTACACTCTTCGCTTCCTTTAAACTATAACACGTGACACCTGTCAACGTCTTATTTCTCCTTCTTTTTCTTCTGTTCCCAACCAGAATGAGGACCAATCGTGCTAACCACATCCTCCTTCTTCTTCTTGTAACCAGAATGAGTAACAATCGTGCTAACCATCTCCTTCTTCTAACCAGAATGAGTAACAATCGTGCTAACCATCTCCTTCTTCTAACCAGAATGAGTAACAATCTCGCTCACCATCTCCTTCTTCTCCTCGTCCCAATACGAGCAAATCTGACTCGGCAAAGGTACCTCCTTGTAATCACCATCCTCACCGTCAATGACATTGATGTTGACGCTGTCGCTCTTGCTCGTGTAAACCTTTGTAGACGCGCTCTCCTTGCTCAAATAAATCTGGGCGCCGTCCAGCTGGTCGAGCAAAATGGTGGGGATGGTTCCCATTACCTGGAGCGCAAAGTTTTTGGATTTGACCACGTCCACAGTAGAGACAAGAGAATCCACGACGAGCGCCACCCGGGTGGTGTTTTCCAGCGTGATGGCGTTTCCTTTGCCCTTGATTATCACTGTGGTGTTGGAGCACTTGGAGATGAGGATGGAGTGGTTCATGGTCACTTCGATTTCTACTGGCTCCGAGGGGGAGTCGTAGTTTTCCTGTAAAAGTCAGTGGGTGGGACAGCGGAAAGAGTTAAAGGGCAACATACAAGAGTCCACTTGTTGCCATCCAGCTCCCGTTTGGGCGGCTTCTTAACCCGCATACTCTGAGGCTTGGGCTTAGTTCCGGGTGGAGCGGGGCTCTTGCCACGCACAGAAGAGCCAGAGTCAGGAACAACAGAGCTGGCGCGCAAAGATGGGTTCTTGTGCGTCATCTGTGACTTGTCCACCTTGCGCAAACCCTTGGTGACTGCCTCTCCCTGGTTCAGTTCAGAAAAGACGGCGCCGAGGCCGCTAGCGGGGCTTGGGTCGGCCTTGACTTCATTGATCTTGAGCACAGGAGGCGGACCGGGAGGAGGAGGTGGGGGAGGAGCGCCGCCAGCTGGGGGGGCAGGTGCCGAATGAGCAGCGGGCGCCGAATCCATGGCTTTGGCTACGTCCAGGGCGGACTGACCCTTAGCATTCCAGATAATACCGCCGTTGTGGTAAGTCTTGATGTATTCAGTGAGATCGCGGAAGATTTGGTAGAGAGCGCGTGTCCATTCGAGCTGTTTTGGGTCTGTTTCCTTGTATGTCTTGATAACCCTGTTCCCGTAAAATTGAGCTGCGCCCAGCATTTCCTCGGCGTGCTTGTAGGGCTTGCTGGTGATACCAGGCCACGCCAGCACCAAAATGCTGTCGGCGACGGCGGCCAGGTGATCATAAAA